TCAGGACTACACATCTGAAGACAGAAACAAATTAATAATCAGAACGTATATTATTAATTAGTTAACATTTAGCTTAATTTGATTATTATGAAAAATATTAACCATTAAGACAAGGCAATGAATAAGCCACTAATTAATTTTAATCATCTTTATCAATCAAACACCAAAAATACTTTACCATAACAACATTAGTTACTATAATACGAAACAAAATCTTAATATTAATCAAGAAAAGTTAATTTTCATCCTGGGAACTCTCCAAAAACACAATTTATGACGATGGCCATTTAGAGGTTAAAGAAAGAAAATATTCAGTTGTTTGGAAACACGTGGATATTAATTTTAATAGAATGATAAATTACATGTGCAATTATTTAGTGACAAAATGCACTGAAAACATTGGTTATTATTAAGATATAACAGCTGCCTCAGAACTCCAATTACGTTTTTTGGAAAGTTTGGAGGTGAAGTTAAACCATTTATTATTACAAAGTTGTACTAATTTTTATTTTAATTCAAATATGCATGAAAGTGTTCTTATGAAAGGTAGGTTTTATGGATGCTATATATTTAAAGATTTTTTGATTTTATATATTTAATTAAAACTAAATTTAAGGTGTAAGATGTACTTGGCTACTTATACACTGAGTGGTGCCATATTTGTAGCCTATCCAAGGAAAGTGATCCAAGAAGTCACAGGATGTGTTCGAATTTAAGTGTACTCGAAGTTGTATGCACTCTACAAAATCAGTTCAAATTAATAAGATAATAAGTAATTGATGCTTATCATGTATAGAAAATGGGCAATTGAAGAACAATTGTTTATACTCTGTAAGTAGTGCTAATCATATACGAAAAATTGGAATTGTAGATCACTTATTTATACTTAATAATTAGTGCTAATCATGTATGGAAAATGAGCAATTGAAGACAATGTTTTATACTTAGTAAGTAGTACTACTTGTGTACGGAAAATGACAATTGTAGATCACTTGTCTATATTTAGTAATAAAAAATTTCAGATATTGTTTTGGTAAATTAAATTATATCCTATGTTTAATCTGTCGTCAATATCTTTGCCCTCTCATCTGTGACGGTGTGATAAAGTGATGGTTAATTGTTTGTTTGTTTGTTTGGAATTAAGCACAAAGCTACACAATGGGCTATCTGTGCTCTGCCCACCACGGGTATCGAAACCATATTTCTAGCGTTGTAAGTCCGCAGACATACCGCTGTGCCACTGGGGGGCTTGATGGTTAATTCCACTATTCATTGGAAAAGAGTAACCGAAAAGTTGGCGGTGGGTGGTGTTAAATAGCTGCAATCCTCTAGTCTCTCAGTTCAAAATTAGGGACGTCTAGTCGTCAAGTAGGTTTTGCGCGAAGATTAGCAAACAAACAATACCATATGTCTTTGTCAAAGGAAAGGTCACGCAGTAATGCAAATATCTTTCTGCTATCTATATTTTTTCCAAATGAAATACTTCGTAAAACCAGGAGCTGTGATAAATAATACTAAGAAAGACGTGAGAATCCAATGAGTTGGCTCAATATTTTGAAACGATTATCCACTTTTATAATAGATAACTTTCAAACTAAGCGATGGGCTTTGTAACACGATCTTAAGTTTTTGTAACATTTATTAAGTAAAAAAAAAAAAAAAAA